TGTTTGCTGCTTCGAAGCTTCTATGGGTTAATCCATCATCCCGTGAGCCCTGTCAGGGGGAGAGGGGACAATCTTTGAGCAAGTGTTGTGCGCATTCGGCTCAACTATCATTTCTGCCCCCGGCTTGCCAAGTAGGGTCTGCTTTTAACCGCGGCAGAGCCTGGCTGCACTTGAACTGCTCAGCAGAAACATAACGTGAACTGCATTGCCGTTCCCGGTTAAGACATGCTCTTTACAGAGAACTGCTTGTAAGACTGGCAGTTCACGCACTCATCAGCAGTCCTCAGTCATGCACCGATTTTAACAGGTACTACACCAGGGTTACCTGCTGTTAGCTAGTAGGCCCGTATCAATCAAAGTCGGTCCCGACGCTCGCTTTCCGAGAGAATCATCTGGGGGGATAAAGACCCCCGGTTCCCCTCCCGCCTCCGGATCAGCTTCCTCTGTGATGGGGCCCAGAGCCAATTCGAGGAACAAAATCCAACACCTTGTTTTGATTGGTGATTGGTGACCTCTTTTGAGACATGGACTCTAGGGAACTGAGTAAAAGCAAATATAATACCTTCCCAGAAAAATGCACATGTCATAACATCTTGGATATAATTTTAGTTGCTCCTGAAACCCATTTATAGGTTCACTCGGTCCTCAATTAGATCTAACCTTTAAATCACATCAACACTCACACTCATTTCCCAGCATTTTAAGGTGCAGCCCAGTGAAGAGGTCACTGTGTTCGTGGTAAAATGTTGTCTCTGACGTTCTGACGTCCCCCTGACCAGGGTTCTCTCTGCTCTCAGGACCGGGAGGGATAGCTCTTCTGCTCCTGGGCACTGCTCTGGTTTATATCTTATGAAATTGTAAATCCTGCTGCCAGTTGTGTGTCTTCCCTTTCAGTCCAGTTCCTGATAACTGGGGGACGAATCAGAACCCCCTTCTGGTTAGCTTATGGGACATATTTTATGTTTCCCCCATTTTGGGCTCCACCTGACCCCTGACCAACTTACTTAGATTATTCGTCTTTACTTCTTTTTCTTACCCATTTATTTTTAAGCCTCACCCAAGGCTATGTTTATCGATTTTAGAGAGAGGGGGGGAAAAGGGAGAGAGAGAAACACCGATGTGAGAGAGAAGCATCGATCGTTGGCCTCCCTGATGTGCCCGGAGTGGGGATCGAACCCACGGCCCTTTGGTGAACAGGACAACCCTCCAACCAACCACCTGGCCAGGGCTTTCTTACCCATTTGTCATATTTTAATTTTTGTGAAACCTTAAAGGCTTCCATACTGAATAAATGCAATAAGTACTCTTATTAGCATTCCTCCTACTTTTCTACCCAGATTTATAAGACGGAGGTTGGCCTGGGATAACATTTAGTTCCACCTTCCCACCCCAGATGGAGGTTGGGGATTGCACCTCCAGCTGCCTCATTGAGGCTATGGGAACAGCTTGCTGCCCGGGAGGGCATTCTTGGTAGATGAGAGGAATACTGAGGTTTCTGTTTTTCCCTTCTTGGTGTAAGTGAAGGCCATCTTCACCCGTTCACTCAGCCAGCTCCCCTCCCTCTTGCCTTGGCAGCCTGACTCCGAGGGAATTCAACTCCTACGGCTCCCGCCGGGGCAACGATGCCATCATGGCTCGGGGCACATTTGCCAACATCCGCTTACTAAACAAATTTTTGAACAAGCAGGCACCGCAGACGATACACCTGCCTTCTGGAGAAGTGGTGAGTATGGTGACCTCGTCTGGCCCTGCTGCTTGGGTGTCTACCCGGTCGGTCACTTTCCCTCGCTCTTAGCTCCTTCCCTGCCCCTCCTGCCTCTGGCTTCCTGCGGTCTCGCCAGGTGTCCATGTGGAGCTCATCAGTGATGGGGACGCCCTTTAACCTGGGAAACTCCTTGTCCTGCTCAGAGGTCCTGCCTTTGGCCTGACTAAATCCGCTTTCCTGGAGTTGAGCTTCCAGAGCCTTTGAGTGAAATGCACGAGTTCAGAAAGTTGGAGGGGAGATTCAGGGTAGGGTAGAGGGTGTTTACCCAGAAGTGCTGTTTTAGGACTGTATTGGCATTTAGTTGAGTTCACCAAACCAGGAGGAGAGAAGGAACGTGGAGGCCGGCTCGGGTCCTACAGGGAACCCGTAGGTGGGCCTGCTACAGTGGGATTGTCTGCTGTGAGGCCTGAGAGAGGCCGGGAAAGCCTGCCCTTTGAGTCGGACAAGCCCGGGTTCAAGTCCCAGCTCCACCTCAGACCAGCTGTGGAGCTCCCAGCAATGCATTTCCCTCTGAGCCTGAGCGTTCTTACCTGTGAAACAGAAATACTGTTCTATCTACCTCGGCAGGCTCTGAGGCTAAAACGTAAATGGAGGGGCGTGTGAAACAGCTAGTCTGGTGTCTGGTCCGCAGTGTCACTTCCCTTCCCAGGAAATGTGGCAAAGCTGCTGGAAACGGGCGAGGCCACTTGTGAAATAACCTTCCCAACCTATTTTAAAACAATAACAGCTAATATTTATGTAGAACTTACTATGTCTCGGGTACTGTTCTAAGCTGTCTGCATGCATTGTCTAATTTAATACTCGTAACAACACTTTGAAGTGGGTACCATAGTTACCCACATTTTATTTTTTATTTTTTAAAATTTATTTTGTTGATTTTTAACAGAGAGGAAGGGAGAGGGATAGAGAGTTAGAAACATCGATGAGAGAGAAACATCGATCAGCTGCCTCCTGCACACCCACTACTGGGGATGTGCCCGCAACCAAGGTACATGCCCTTGACCGGAATCGAACCTGGGACCCTTCAGTCCGCAGGCCGACGCTCACTCCACTGAGCCAAACCGGTTAGGGCGTTACCCACATTTTAAATTGGGAACCACGGCATCGAGAGCTCCTATATCCCTAAGGCCACAAGTAGAGAAACTGAGTTTAAACCCAGGGAGTCTGGCTTCGAAGCCAGTGCTGCTTGCCACCACGCCCACTGCCTCACCTGCCGCTGATTATGTTTTTGTAAAGTCTCTTCATAGACAGTCACTGGTCACCAGGACCAGCTCAGAGCCAGTGCCCAGTAATGTTCAGTGAATCAGGGATAATGAGCAAACTATTCGATGAAAAAGATACAGTTAAATGGTGGGATGCGCAAGAGGCCGAGGGGAGGCCTTGCGGCGGCAGACATCGGGGCCTCCGGGTACTGACTGTCGCAGTGAACGTCACTTACTTGCGAGCCCCACCGTGGCAGAACTTCCAGTCACGTGTTCGGTGCTTCTTAAATAAGGAGACAGAAGCAGAGAAGGACGGACATTTGAGCCAACCCTTGAACTCGAAAGATAGACCTAGGCCAAGGACAGGGAGGAAAGGAGAGAAAACAGATAATGCAAAGAATAGAAGAAAACAGAAAAAACATTGTTTCTTCAGAGTGATAAGATGGTTTCCTGTTGCTGTAAAGCAGGGGTGGGGAACCTTTTTTCTGCCAAGCGCCATTTGGATATTTATAACATCATTCGCAGGCCATACAGAATTATCAACTTAAAAAGCAGCCTGCTGTATTTGGTCAAACATCCAATTAACTCACCCTAATGCCTTGGCAGGGCCAGACGAAATGATTTTGTGGGCCTTATATATGGCCCATGGGACAGACATTCCCCACCCCTGCTGTAAAGTAATTAGAGGGCAAGAAAAAAAAAATCCCTAAAAATGTCACAGGAAAAGTTGGTTAGTTGAAAAAAAAATCTCTCAAAATATAGAACAGAAAAATAAAGGAGAAATTAGAGAGAAACTGAGAAAAGTAAAGACTGAACTGAGGAAGCCCAACATCTGACTGAACAGAGGTACTGAAAAGAGAAGAGAGGAAGTTATCACACACCAACATAAGGGAAATTCTCGACTGCCAGATCGAAGACTCCAGATTGAAAGGGCCGCTGAGTGCCCAGCAGAGTGCCTGGAGATGACCTGCGCCAGGCACATCCCTGGGAAGTTAAGATCAGCAGAGGTCTGGCCAGGGCAGCTCAGTTCATTAGAGCATCATCCCTTGCACCAAAGGGTCACGGGTTCCATCCCTGGTCAGGGCACATGCCTAGGTTTCCGATTCCATCCCTGGCGCCAGTCAAGGAGGCAACTGATCGATGTTTCTCTCTCCCTTCCTCTCTCTCTCTGAACATATCTTCGGGTGAGGATTAAAAAAGGAGAGATCTAGAAACTCCCGGAGAAGCTAAAACCGGTTATATACAGTATGCCGGCGATCAGAGGTGCAGAAGCAACACTGGGAACTTGGACTGATTTCTCCCTTACAATCCTGTCCTTCACACCCTGCTCAAATGAAATTAAAGTAGTAGCACATTAAGATACTCAAAAACTTAAAAAATATCCCTCAATTCCTGTCGAAAAAAGTGTTGCTGAAAGTGTTCCACCAAAATAGAGGAAGGTGTCGGGTGCAGGAGAAGGCAGGGCTGGGAATCCCCAGGATGCGGGTGGAGGAGGCTCCTCCGTCCCGGGAGGCACCCCGGGAGCAGTGCTGGACTCCAGGATGTAGCCCCCTGAAAAAGACTTTTAGGTGATAAATTGCCTGATACGACTGAGTGTCTTTAGAGGAGATTAGTACTTTAGGCAGATCGTTTGGGGATTAATTAATGGGTAGGAACATAGAAACAGGTTAGCACACACACACACACAATGAAAATTATTAATTTCAGTGGAAATTGTTTTTAAATTGCCAAGAAAGCGAAGTCATAGTACATTACATGACGCAGCAGTAAATAGCTTTTACATAATCATAATGCAAATACCAACTATTGACAGACCAACCATCTGACATCACTCTATCGGGAGGTCGGGGGGAGGAGAGGTGTAGAGGAATTGTTGGGAATGGTGCTTAAGAGAACCACATCCTCATCAAACTAGGGAATGTGATAAAACTGGAGAAATGAAGAATGCACTGTTCAAACCTAATACCCAGGAGTTCTAGAGGCACAGAAGCACGAGAAACCATGTTGGCTTCCGAGGAGAGGGAGCGTGCAGACCTCCCACGCTAGCCTGGTTAACACTCGGCATGGCTCTCAGAAGAGCAATCAGGAGACGGAATCCGGAGCTGCTGGTCCCCCTGACCTTGGGTTTCGTGACCTGCTTTGCCGTGGGGTGCTCAGCTTTGCAGTAGTTTTGAAAGCACATTAAAACTCAACTCCCACATTCTTACTACCCAACGCCGGTAACAGATATCTCTGAAAGTATCGGGCAGGATGTTTCTTTTTGGTCTTTGAAGCAGTCTAGACTGTTCGGTTGGACAGAGAAGGCTTTTACTATTTTTGTAAGTTTCTCTATTCATGAGCTCTGTCCAGCTGCACACATACAGACTTCTATGCAGATTTTGCTAAGGCCATGGGGAATTAACCACAGCTCCTGTGGTCCATCAAAACAGCAGTTTGTCGAAGCTGGCTTAAAGGTTTGATTAAACACCCTTCGAAGGGAACACTCTCTAGAGGGATTTTATTTTCCGACTTAGTAGCCGGGAGAAATAGTTGTTGCATCACTCTACCGCCAGCAATGACATCAGATGTGTCTGAAGTCTCAGCTCAGTATTCAGAGTTCCTGTGAGAACAGATGAACCTATTTGTGTAAGGTGTGTCTCATATGAACTAAAATATTCATCTTCTCCTTTAATGCTGGGCATTGGCCCATCAATATTTCCTCTCTCTCTACCTTGACCACCATGCAGAGGGGTGACTAATAAAAGTTTGCATTTTAAATGACTTCAGAACCTTACCTTCTTGTGTTTTGCTACCCTTCACAATTGACCATCACTGAGTCTCTGATACTGAGTTGAAACCCAGGGTTAGGTGTAATTCTATGTTTTTTAAAAGTTTAAAAATAGTTCAGTCAATGGAAGAGGAAAAAAAATCTAATCTACTTTCCTTTTTCCCTTGATGCCTTAGGATTTGAATGTTTTTCTAAAACCCTCACAATCAGCCATTTCAGTTAAGAGAATATCTATATATATAAAAGGCTAAGCCACCAGCCGACCGGTCGGTAGGGATGACATTCACTGACCATCAGGGGGCAGACATTCAATGCCGGAGCTGCCGAGCGACAGCAACTTTGCAGAGTGCCCTCTCGAACTCTGGGACCCTTCGGGGGATGTCGGACAGGCTAGGCTGAGGGACCCCACCTGCCGGAGGGACCCCGCTCACTCCGCAGATGCCCTTTGAGCCCTGGCGCCGCCCCAGGTGTGGCTGGCCAGGGAGGGACGGCAGGAGGTTGGCTCCAGGGCGTGTGTCTAGCCCAGTCCCGCCCTGCCAGCCACCTTATAATTAATTTTTTTTCAATGTGCACAAATCTGTGCACCAGGCCTCTAGTAAAATATAATTTGGTCAGTGTATATAGATGGAGCTCATTGGGAATCTGTAGACCAGGCATCTGTAGACCAACCTGTAGATTGGCTAGTTTTCCGTTGGCTTTGCGCTGACCTGGCTCACTGCAGACCTCTGACCCTGCACACCCTACCAGGTCTCCCTGGCCTGTGTCTGCACTCTGTGCCTTTGCTACATCTGTAATACCTCCCCTTTCTCTTCCTCAGCTTGATGTGTTTGATGCCGCTGAGCGGTACCAGCAGGCGGGCCTTCCCCTGATTGTTCTGGCCGGCAAAGAGTACGGCTCCGGCAGCTCCCGGGACTGGGCAGCCAAGGGCCCTTTCCTCCTGGTGAGTATGACATAGGGACATCCCCACGGGCAGCTGCCCCTGTGGACCGGAAGGGACGCTGGGAGGGGCCAGGAATCCATTCTGGTGCTTTACTCTCCACGATGTGGAAGAGCAGCTCAGAAAAGCAAGTGGTGTTTGTTCCTCCCCTGCTTCTTGGTGGACTGGCTTCCCTTCTCTCAGTGAAGAGTAATCTGTAGGTGAAATGGTTCCCTCAGACCAGACATATCCCAGAGCCATGGTCTTTGGGGGTCGCAGTAGAACAGCTGGGCGGAAGGTCTGTGCAGTCTGTGAAATCATATCCAAAAGTTTGTCTGTATGTCTTTTTCTAAGGGGAAAATTCCATGGTTTTCATAATGTTCTCAGAGGTTGAGGACCCAAAATTTGTTTAAGGCCATTGTCCCCGGTGAACTTGAGGAATAAGCCAGGGCTGCTGCTGCTGACCTGTCTGCCAGGTTCCTGCAAGGGAAAAAGTCAGGAGCCTGAGCTTTGGGTAAACTCAGGAAAGTGCTTCCTATGATGCTTTTTACTGCCTGTGAAAGTCTCTTTAAATTCAGCCGGGAAGGACTCTCTCTCTCTATTCAAACAAGACACTGGGTAGACCCTTCAGCCTTTCAGGGCTTGACCAGGAGGTTTCCCCAGGGGCGGGGCCACACAAGGCAGCAGAGAGCTCTCACCTCTTCAGCAGCAGCAAGTTCTCACCTCAGAGGGCTCTCACCTCCTCAGGGACCCCAACAAAACCTGCTGCCGCTTTAATCCTCAGGGCAGGTAAAACGGCTTAGCTGATGTCAGTGTAGATAACGTGTGGCTCGAGCCAATCAATGCACTTGGGAAACCCTGAATAAGTGGTATCCACAGTAAAACATGTGGCTGTCCGGTAGGCAGCCCCAGACATCCAGGCTTCTGAAAATCTTTGAATATCACACACCTATTATTTTGGTTTTTTAATCAATTATTTTGTTCTGTGGGAAAAAGAAATGTTCTCTGATTATTTGGTAGTATGTCAGGGGTCTGCTCTTTTAGAACCTGCTGAAAAGAACCAGAGAAAAGAAGGAAGAGGTTTGAGGAAGGGAGCTGGTTGCTGACAGTAGTGCCAGTCAGTTGGGTGGGGAACTTTAAGATAGTTGGGTGGGAAGGAAGGAGAACTGGCACCCAGGGGGCGCTCCAGAGTCTAGACTTCGCTGTAGAGCCACTCTGAGTCCTGGCTGCCCAGACACCATGTACTTCAATCTGTAGCTGCCCAGCCAGGGCCACTCAGCAGTCTCCTGGGCTGAATTCATGCAGAGAGGGTTATACAGTTGTGATCTGTGGCATTGAGAGACCTGCACAGCCATTTATACAGAACTAGGGACATGAATAATATGCATTTACAGAGATTTATACTCCCCCTCAAAATAACTACATAATACATGTATCCAAAAATCCGTACAAAATATCTGCTACCCTGAAGAATCTGCCCTTCCTCCATAAATTTGTTTTTAAATTTGGAAACAGTCTTGGCCAGGTAGCTCAGTTGGTTAGAGCATGGTCCCAATACACCAAAATTGCAGGTTCGATCCCCAGTCAGGGAACATACAAGAATCAACCAATGAATGCATAAATAAGTGGAACAACAGTGGTCCCGATACACCAAAATTGCAGGTTCGATCCCCAGTCATGGAACATACAAGAATCAACCAATGAATGCATAAATAAGTGGAACAACAAATCGATGTTTCTCTCTCTCCCTCCCTCTCCCTCTCCCTCTCTCTCTCTCTCTCTCTCTCATATATATATATGAGGGAGAGAGAGAGAAACATCGATTATACATATATATCTTCCCCCCTCTCTCTAAAAATCAATAAATTTTTTAAAATTTGGAAGCACCTGTAGGATTTTTTAAAAATACCTGTGCCTGGATCTCATCCCAAGAGATTATGGTTTAACAGGTAAGGAAAAGGGCCTTGATGTCAGGATTTTAAAAGCTTTCCTTGGTGATTCTAATATACAGCAAGTTTGAGAGCCACTGCTTCATAGCCATGGTTTTCATGACTTTCTCTTCCTCCTGCCCACACTCCCTGCGTGAGAATCTATGCAGTAGATCGGGGGTAGTGCCCGAGATTCTACATTTTAAAAACATTTATTTATTTGTATTGATTGATTAGAGACAGAGAGAGAAATGCCGATTGGTTGCTTTCTCTATGTACACTGACAGAGGATCCAGCGCAAACTTGGCGAATTGAATCGGGACGACGCTCTACCCAACTGAGCTACCCGGCCAGGGCTCTAAAATTCAACATTCTTAATAAGCTCCCTGAGTGACTCTTATGCAGGGTTGTTCTTAAAAGTGTACCCTAGATATCAAGAGACCTTTTAGGGGTACCTAAATATCCACTTACAGTTAACTAATATTTGAGAATAGGGTGTTTTAGTTAATCAAGTATCCTGGTTTATTAATCATTGCTGTATAGTATTGCCAGTTATAGATTGCCAGTAAAATGTACTTTATAGATAGCTTAATGTCAAGATTATATTCCATAGGATTTGATCCTTGAAGCAGGAAGTATAAAAGCACACAGTAGGTAATTCTTTACTCTCTTGATAGTATGTTCTGTAAGTTGCTTCTCTGATTAAATCTTCCATGTCTGCCAATGGACCTACAATCATAGCAGAATTGAAGGGAGAGAAATGATTTTCTTTATGTTGTTTTGTGATGTGGAGTCTGTTACAGTGGAAGTTTGCTAAGAGGTGTTACATCACACAGTGGCTCAGTGTGTGGTCAGACTGCCTGGGTTCAGAATACTAGATACTCCCCTGACCGCCTAGCTTGGTGCAGGGGGAATGAGAGCAGTCATTTAAGGGCTCACACAGTGCCTGTACTGTGTAGGCACTCATTGAGCCCTGACTACTGTGCTATTTATAGCGAGGGGGTAGCTTTTTGTGTAAACGATTACTTCGTACTTATAAAGAATGTAGGTGTGAGAAGAGTTTTGACTTAGGAAGCCTTTTGCTAAGTTTCTGTGTCTAAGGAAAAACTGGGACTGTGTCCAAACCCCTCTCTCGGTCCTCAGGGAATCAAGGCTGTCCTGGCGGAGAGCTACGAGCGCATCCACCGCAGTAACCTGGTCGGAATGGGAGTGATCCCCCTCGAGTACCTCCCGGGGGAGACGGCGGACACCCTGGGACTCACGGGGCGGGAACGATACACCATCAACATCCCAGAGAACCTCAAACCACGAATGAAAGTCCAGGTCAAGGTGAGCCGGGGCCTCTCCACGCCAGGGCCAGCTCACAGGGACCCTGTGTTTGTAATCCATCTTGCTAGAAGGAAATCAGTGGGATTTGGAAGAAGAAAAAACAAAGGGTAGGACTAAATTAGCCTTAAGAGTTTTACTAGCCCCCTTTCTACCTGCCTCACAACATATCACGTATTTCTGTTTATTCATAGTTATCAGTTCCATTCATACCTCCAAGCCTTTCCCATTCCTCCCAGTTTCACTTAGCCCGGAGACTAGTGGCAAAAGCTCGGGGGCAGGACATGACCTAAAAAACACCTTTTTTATTATAAGAATGTGAACAACAGACGCTGTCCCCATCCGAGTCTTACCCCAAATGACAGCTCCCTGGGTGAGGAAGGGAGGAGATGCCCACACCCAGGTCCCAGGGGGACTTAGACTCCCAGGCAGAGGCAGCTGCTGAGGTCTGTGTCCAGGGTGAGGAGCTGGGCCCAGTGCCTAAGGGACCCCAACAAAACCTGCTGACCCGAGGCACCTCCTCTGCAGGGAGCCCTGAGAGGCTTGGAAACACCGTGCCCAAGGCCACAGTGACTACTGCCCAGAGAGGCCCTTTCTAAGTCTCAGATGCCTCTCACGTCCATCACTCACACTCTCAGTGCCTGCCCATGCGGATGAGTCGCTGGGGGTCTTTTAAAATGCAGCCTCTGAATCAGCAGGTCTGGGTGGGGGCCTGCGGCCGCGCATGTCCCCAGGCGCTGCCCGTTGGCGCTGCCCGTTGGTGCTGGTGTGCGGACCCCTCCCCAGGGGCTGACCTGGGGGCCGCGGCACACGCTCCTCCTGACTGAGCTGCCTCCCCTGCTCCCTCATGACTCTTCTTGGCTTCTTTGTGGTCGCAGCTGGATACCGGGAAGACCTTCCAGGCGGTCATGAGGTTTGACACCGACGTGGAGCTCACCTATTTCCACAACGGGGGCATCCTCAACTACATGATCCGCAAGATGGCCAAGTAGGCCCCGTTCCCTCGGAGACCTGCCCTGGGAGCTGCCCCGGAGCGTGTGCGGAGCCACCGGCCGCCGAGCCCCTGGTGCAGAAGCGAGGCCCCGCCTCCCTGCGGGTGCTGCCTTGCAGACGGAGCACAGAGCACTGGCGACATGCCCTTGACCGGAATCGAACCTGGGACCCTTCAGTCCGCAGTCCGACGCTCTATCCACTGAGCCAAACCGGCTAGGGCGAGAGGCCCTTTCTAAGTCTCAGATGCCTCTCACGCCCATCACTCACACTCAGTGCCTGCCCATGCGGATGAGTAGCTGGGGGTCTTTTAAAATGCAGCTTCTGAATCAGCGGGTCTGGGTGGGGGCCTGCAGCCTGCGCATGTCCCCAGGCGCTGCCCGGGGCCCTTAAGTCTCAGATGCCTCTCACGTCCATCACTCACACTCTCAGTGCCTGCCCATGCGGATGAGTCGCTGGGGGTCTTTTAAAATGCAGCCTCTGAATCAGCAGGTCTGGGTGGGGGCCTGCGGCCGCGCATGTCCCCAGGCGCTGCCCGTTGGCGCTGCCCGTTGGTGCTGGTGTGCGGACCCCTCCCCAGGGGCTGACCTGGGGGCCGCGGCACACGCTCCTCCTGACTGAGCTGCCTCCCCTGCTCCCTCATGACTCTTCTTGGCTTCTTTGTGGTCGCAGCTGGATACCGGGAAGACCTTCCAGGCGGTCATGAGGTTTGACACCGACGTGGAGCTCACCTATTTCCACAACGGGGGCATCCTCAACTACATGATCCGCAAGATGGCCAAGTAGGCCCCGTTCCCTTCGAGACCTGCCCTGGGAGCTGCCCCGGAGCCTGTGCGGAGCCACCGGCCGCCGAGCCCCTGGTGCAGAAGCGAGGCCCCGCCTCCCTGCGGGTGCTGCCTTGCAGACGGAGCACAGAGCACTGGCGTCGCGGTGCCCTTCCTCCAGGCACAGGCAGCAGTTCCTCCATTCTCTCTTTTCCTTCATCTTTGTATCTTTTTCTAGAATTTGGAGGCTAGCAGGGTGGAATGTCAGTAGTGCCAGAAAGAACTGAGCGTGTCTTTAAAGTTACTGATCACAGAAGGTTGATTTTTTACTCTTAGCCTGTTAGCGTTCAGCTGAACACAAACAAGTGTTCTCAGAAGGAGCTCCCTGTCCTCTCTGTGTTTCTCGGTTCTCCTCGGTTCAATGAAACCTTCCCCTGCCTGTTACACCAGTGTTAACTGATGTGGGCAGATGGGAACTTTTGCACACTTCAGATCACAATGGTGATTGTGACTCTCCCCCGCCCCCTTTCCTTCGGAGTGAATGGTCCGGACACCTTATGGCCAGGTCAGAGGTGGAAACTTTTTGATTATGTAACTTTTGATCGATCACCATTAAAGAAATGTGAAGTTTTCTTTTACTATCTTTAAAACTTTTCCCCAGAAAATTTTGTTCCTTTGTCCAGAGGATAACTTTGTTGGGAGGTGGTTTTGCAGAGAGACAGATATTTCTAATTTGAATAAAATTAAATCTATTTTCAAGGAAAACTTTTTGACTTTGGAATTGAATCCTGCTGTGTGTGTGGCTATAGTTTTGGGCTGTTTAGAACAGAGCGGATCTCAGGCATTAGCTTCCCAAAGCCTGGCTGACCTTCAGGTTCTCCTGTTCGTACGGCCATGGCAGTGACCTGCAGGTAACAAGGAGGGGCTGAGGAACCAGCGTGTTCTCTGCCCTGTTTGGGAGCAGACAAGCAGGTAGCAGGCAGGGTTGTGAGCATGTCATAGCTTTGATTTTTGTGTCCTCTAGTTTTATCTGCTCATTTTCATTTCTAAAGTTGTTTCAGGGCACATGTCTCTTATTCTGTGCCAGCAGCAACAATAAAATATAGACTGAAGTGGCTCAAATATTAGAAACTTCTTTTCTTATAGTTCTGGAGGCTAGAAGCCCAAGATCAAGGTTCCAGCCAATTCATTTTTCTGGTAAAGTGCTCTTTCCTGGCTCGAAGACAGCCACCTTCTGCTGTGTGCTCCCATGGCCTTCATCAGGGCAGGCACAGAGAGAGAAAGAACTAGCTCTCTGGTGTCTCTTCTTATAAGGGCACTAATCTTATCAGATTAGGGCCCCACCCTTACAATGTCATTAAACCTTAATTAAACCTTCCTTTGAGCTCCCATCTCCACAGAGGCACACTGTAGGGTAAGAGCTTCCACATATGAAATTTGGAGGTACACAAACATTCAGTCTATAACAGGGCAAACATAGTCTAAAAGGGCCATTTTCAGCAGAAAAATCACCCAAATTGGAGCTAAAAGGACCTATTACAGCTAAAGGAGCAGACTTAGAAAGTTCTGGTAACTTAGCAGTATTCCCCCTAATATGCTTCCTGGTCAAACAGTTGGGCTGATTAGAGACGTCAGCTTTCTGAAAACCAAAGAGAACTCTAAAGTTCTGTCATCATCTGAACCAGCCCAGGCACTCCACCCTCCCCTCCATCAGCAGTAACAGTTACATCCAATTACTGTCTTTGGAGATTTTTCAAACCCTTTATCTAAAAGGTTTTACGAAAAAAATATATATAGGAGACTAACTTGAGGATATTTTCTTTTTAAACTAAGGAAATATTTTGTTTTCATTGTAAAACTGACCCATAGCCCAAAAAGAACGTTGGGAAAACATAAAACAGTACCAAGAGAGAAAAATGGGAAGGTGCTCACTAAAAAACTTCTATCCTCAGTAAAATTTAGGGGGAGAATTAAGAAGTGCTAAAGAATTTCTTCTCACTGAAAATGTGGAATAGGTGTTTTGAAATATCTTGGTCTCCAAACTTGAGGAAGTAATGTTTTTTTAAAATGAGTCAACACTGATGTAATGTAATTTTGTCCTAAAGTAACTGATAATTCGTTGGTCCACTGAATTGTAAGGTTCATCTTTTTGAGTTAAAATATTCCTCACACCTCTGTCCAATATCAGCTCTCATTTTCTGAGCACTTGTTTCATACATCTCATTTTATCCCCCAAACTTCCCTGCGAGTTAAGTACCATTATTGTCCCAACTTTGCAAATGGGGAGACTGATCATTTAGAAGACAGAGTAACTATCTGAGGTCACACATCTTGTACCATATGTGGCAGAACTGGGATTGGAACCACTGATTCCCGTGGTAAAGCTCTCCCCCAGCTCTGCAGTGCTCAGTGCTCACAGAGATGCTGAGGTGAAGATCTCTGCAAAGGATCTGGAGAAAGTGTGTGGGTGTGCATGTGTGCCTGCAGGGGTGTGCCCTGACTTTCCCCAATCTGGTTCCATGCTTCCGTGTTACAAAGAAAATTACAATAAAATGAAGGTCACTACCAGAGGCTGAACTGAACAGGTTTGCCACTCCAAATTCTGCTTATTACCCATCCTAACACCTGCACAGCACAATGGGAGCTTTTCTCGGAGGACTCTGGATGTCAGAAAAAGAGAGAGAGAGAGAGAGAGAGATCTGAGAGAAAGACGAAGGGTGTTGTCCACAAGATGAACTGACAACTAAAGAGCAATTCTCGCTCACTTTGCCTTTTAGATCTGAAAACATAACTCCAGGTATTAGCACTAATAAAGTATATTTTAATCTCATTGAGATTAAAGCAGAATGAATTTGAAGTTTACTGCAGGACAAAATTTTAAGCATTAATGTACTGTTCTAATGCAACCCTCAGGGTGATATGATAACAGGTACCAACCATGCTCACATTCCACCTGTTACTTATGGTCAGATTCTGACAGTAATCCTATATAATAAAAGGGTAATATGCAAATCGACCAAACAGCAGAACGACCGGTCGCTATGGTGCGCACTAACCACCAGGGGGCAGACGCTCAACACAGGAGCTGCCCCCTGGTGGTCAGTGTGCTCCCACAGGGGAAGTGCCGCTCAGTCAGAAGCCGGGCTGATGGCTGGCTAGCACAGCAGCAGTGGTGGGAGCCTTTCCCGCCTCCACGGCAGCGCTAAGCTGTCAGTTAGACATCCCTCGAGGACTCTCCGACTGCGAAAGGGCACAGGCTAGGGGGATCCCCGCACCCCCACCCCCAGTGCATGAATGTTGTGCACCGGACCTCTAGTGCAAGTAGAAAGACTTAACCTTTTCTTTACATGCTTCATCCCATGTCTAAGGCTACAAATGGAGTCATTCATCATGTTTTTCTTTGTATAAGTTTATTTTTTCTTTTTCAATTACAGCATTGTTACTAGTCAGAAGAAAGCCCTTGCTACCTTTTGTTCTTCCCTGCCTATCATAAAGTAGAGGAGGAATAAATGGTGATGGATGAAGACTTGACTCAGGGTGGTAAACACACAATACAGTGCACAGGTGATGTGTTGTAGAACTGTGCACCCGAAACCTCTATAATTTTAACCAGTGTCACCCCAACAAAAAGAAAAACAAAACAAAAAATGAAAAAAGAAAATAAAAATTTGATGTCTGTGACTTAAAACTGTAATAAATCTGAGGATATGTAAACAAAGAGATTGGTGTATTCCTAAAATCCAACTGTGGTTCACTGAATCCTGCTCTCTAGGAAGCAGAGCTGTTAGAGCGTGGACGCCAATGCAGGTGTTCACCTGCACGTTAAACATGCAGGAGCTCACCTCCTGGCCTCCTCGGGGCCTCCACGGTGCAGGGTGATCAGTGCCACATTATCAGAAATGCTGTTGTCAAGACAATCCAACATGAACCTCAGGATGCCACTGGGAGGGACTTAAACAGATCCTCAAGAGCTCTCTAGGAAATGGAAAGTGAGGGATATTTACACTAGAATGTAGGCGGAAATGAGAAGTGCTGTAAGGAAGAGAGCTACAAAGCGTTATGGGCTTTCAAAAGAGACCGCTGCCAGCTGGGGGAACTCAGGGCAGGTGTATGGAGGCAGCCGAAGAGGGGAAACAGATCATCAGTTGCAGCCCATGAGCAACTCCCCCGACAGGAACAAATTGTGAAGTCAGGTTGGCTGAAGTGAATAATGAACAAAGGGGAAGAATGGGAAATAAGGTTGGAAAAAGAAGTGGGTGCTGGATATGAAAACTCTTTAACATCAAGAAAATTAGGGGCCTGGCCAGCATGGCTCAGTGGTTGAGTGTTGACCTATGAACCAAGAGGTTATGGTTTGATTCCTGGTCAGGG